ATATCATTGTATGGATGTCCTTCCAGCTGAATCAGGAGTCAGTGACTTTGTGGAGGTTTTCCTTGGAGAAATGGACTTATATTGGAGTTTACAATGATTCAAACCAAAATACTTCTTTACCGCAAGTATTTAAGTTCAGAGGTGTAACATGTTGTGTGCAGAAAATATTCTCAACAAGTTATCAGCTATGGATCAAAGCACACAAGAATACTTAGAAACAGAAGTGCATGAGGAAACATTCAGAAAAGAGATGACTTTAATTTTTTCCAATGTTAGTGCAGCACAGGTGATGCTATTTTTAAAAAATTATTTATTGAATTATGACAGAGGTCATCAAAACTTATTTTCTTTTTCACAGAAACTGTGACTTTATGGAAGTCTTTCTTTGCATAAATGTAGTTTTTACCAAAGTTACTGATTTAAAACCAAAATATATGATTGCACGCATTATTTACACTGCAAAATATAACATGTGGTGCAGAAAAAAATGTTCACAACAAGTTAGCAGCTATAAATGAAAGCACACAGGAATATTTAGAATGAGAAGTGGATGATGAAACATTCAGAAAAGAGATGCAATGGCAGTGCAGCACAGGAGATTCTAGCTTCAAGTATTGATTACAGAATTATGGCAGAATTGATCAGACGTATCTATTACTGAAAGCAGAGACTTTTTGAACATATTTTTTTTAGAGAAATGGGTATAATTTCTAATTAGGTATGGATTTAATCATAATGCTTTGTTGCAGGCATAGTTTTTATTCAGACGTAGAAAATGTTACGGTGTGCTGGCTTGGCTTGTTACTGATTACAAATCAAAAATAATTTTTGGTTTCCTGATTCTTTTCTCTCCTGCATTCTTTCTAGGAGATGAAATAATTTTATCTGCTTCTGAAATTTCAATTTCTCTTTTTTCTTGTGTTTGTTTTACAGAAGCAGTGGCCTGTTTTTGTTTCTCATTCTGTGCTCTAGCATCAACAATATACTTCGGTTCTCTAAGAGACATTTTCTTGGTGCTCTTGGATCAACAAGCTCAGGAAGAATACAATTCACGTAAAATTTTTCGAGTTTTGGAACTAAACTGATCCAGAAAGTTTTGTCTTCGGGTATTCTTAATGTGATTGCATCTTCTCTGCACCATATATATAAATCACACCAATTCCTCTCTGTTATGGCTAACTGCCCTTGAATTTGAAAATAATATTTGTGGCTTTTCGGTAAATAAAGATTATTATCAGCATCCATCCGAAGACCAACAGAATTAGGCTTGCTGAAAAAGTCTGACAAGTCTGCTGAGAATCTGGCTGTATAAGGACATTTTATTTCAAGTAATCCATCTTCGTCTATCAATCCATCTGGCGAAGTACAAAGAAAGGGGATATTTAGGATCAATAAAAAGGCCACAACGTCTGATGTTTTTTCCCATGTGCTTTTCCTTGTATTGATTTAAGGCTACTGCTTCGTTAGCCAAGCCATACTTTAATGCTTTAGTTGAAACGTTATCATTATATATGATACGTTTCACTAAAGCAGCACTGAGTGTTGTTGGACGCCTATCAGCAACATCTTTGAAAAAGGATGATGATATTCTTCTTGATCTTTCAGATGATGACTGTCCACGTGTTACGGCCTCAAGAGAATCTTTTTTGGAACTTCAATTGATATAAAAAAATTTTTAGCTGCCAATTCATATGCTTCATCTGATAGGTCTGGTTTATCTCAGGAAAATCACCATAAAGAAGTATCCCCAGCCTTGCTGAATATGTCCTGCTTTCCTCATATTTCTCTTTTTCTTCTGTCCCAGTGTCAAAAAGTCCTACGTCTCCTCAAGACGTTTTACATGGCGCTTATTCTTCTGGAAACCAAGAATTTCTTCTTAAAAACCAGAAGTTGGAGTCCTGGGGCTACTTCCTGTTACAGCTTTTTGTGCATTTTTTTGCCACTGCTTGTGCTGGATTTTGATGAGCCATGACAGCAACACTTGCACGCCTGTTTATGTCACCAGCTTTGGAAAAATCAACTCTTTTCTCGCCAGATGTTTTGCAGAGCTTACTGATGAAGCTTTCAGCAGGATTATTTATGGGATTCCAAATAAGAGTATTGCTATGTGATATCAGTACTCTTGTCATTTCCGCTTCAATTGCTTGCAACATACATGAGGAAAATATTCCATTGCATGTGCTGTTCAACTCTGCACCTTTCTTTGCACAAAAAGCACTGCAAGCAACATGCTTGATATTGCCCATTTCTCAGATCAGATACTAATGCATCAATAGCTTCTTGAGTATGCTGATGATTGGCATGAGCTTTTATAACTACTCTAGCACCCTTGACTAACAGTAACATTTTAATTTTCAGCAATTTAAAAGCTGCAATTCCTTTAGCCCCACGGAATCTTGCAGTATTTTGTTGAAGTTTCTCGAGAACTCTGCGATATCGGCGAACGGCACATTCTACTTTTATCACTCATCCTCCGTATGAAACGCTTTCTTTCATTTTAGCCATTCTGTTAGCATCTCCATCTCCAACAAGTCGAGTACAACGTATTTTATTGAAACATTGGAGATAATTCAGACTTTCCACAATGGCACTGCTTTCCATTACCTGTAGAAGGCCCATTCCAATTTCGCCAACAAAGGTGCACTTTATTTGGCATCTTGCCATCTTCAATAGCACTGCATATAAGGCACACTTTGTTGCGAATTCCAACAAACAAAATTTTCTGAGTGACCATGCCTATAATAACAGGTATGTCCACTTGAAGCATTGTAACCATGCCCATAGCATGCCATGCCTTCTTTTACACCAACCTCCATCAACAATGACAGTTATATCAGTGATAACCATCATTATCTTTATCCATTGCGAAGTTATACCTGCCTTTTCTCCTCTTCTATAGCAGCACACATAGTTTCCTGTGCACATCCCTGTATTATTTTGCCAGTAGTTCGCTCATAAGAAGCAAAGGTAAAATTGCTCATATACGTAATTTCCATGATGCTCAATTTTTTCGCCCTCTTGCGAAAATCCAGTACCAGTAGATAAGGCACCTAATACTGCAGGTTGCTTTAGGCTACTTTACTCCACATCAGAACAAATTGTTGCAAGTTTCTCGCATAAAATTTTATCACATACACAGTTATATGTAGGGACAAGACCACGTCGAATCACTTTGTTTCAAAAACAAATGATCCTCCAAATTTACAATTTAGGGAATGTTGCTCTAACTGTTCTAGCCTGCACTTATCACAAAAGACATATTGCAAATTCTTCTGCCAGATGGTAATGGCATTTGCCTTTCGGTCGAATCTTCCCTTTCGAATAATTAAAGGTGAAATCAGGATACACAGAATATCATCATTAAGGTTCTCCTGAAGAGGCTCAGACTCCAAGCTAAAATATATATATATACAATATATATACATATATAATTAATATATATAAATATTACAAATTAGGTTTAGGCAACAAATTAGGCTTAAATTTGGTTTATTGATGAACAGCAAAGCACTTGATCCTTCCGAAGAGGAGGGATGCTTTCATGGCAGGACTTTCTAAGGGAAATGGCTCATATACACGGGGACACAACCATGGAAAACGCCCATGCAGGCAGCCCATTCGCAATTAGGTTTAGGAAAATTTAGGCAACAGATAGCAAATAAATTAACAATGAATAATACACTGGATTACCAGTATATTACTACAAGAAGATGAGTCATCTTCACAACTGCTTGCTTTCCATGCTCGCAGTGTCATTTGCTCAAGTGCAATATTAGTCAGTACTTTGTGTGCCGGAGGTTTCACATGAAGGGCCTCTACACCTGAGTATAAAATGTTCGTGTTCCAGTAAACACTGAATTCAGAGGGGCAAGAATAACTCTTTCATGGTGGATAACTCAGTTACCAAATGGCTTTCTAAGGCTCTATTCAAGCCGTTGTATAAATGTCATAATTCCCAACTAACAACGCTTTGTAGTCAGACCTTGCTATGTCACAAAAACTAGTTTGGGCATTAAGCTTGAAGTTTTCAACTTTGTGCCGACTTGATATAAGAGTCGGCCAATCAGAGCATATACATAAAACCTATTGAGAGAGAAAGCTGTAGACACATACATGCATGCACAAATTTAGCTTCTCTAATTGGCTATGGCTTAGACCCTCTCTCGCAGGTGTGAATGGAACTCCCACATTTTGTGCCTTATGATTATGCGTCTATGACATTTATACCATCATGTGAACGGAGCCTTAGGATGGCATACTAAGAAGATGCACTGTCTTGTGGGGATAAGCAATTTATACTCCTAAGCCTAAAAAAAAAAAAACTTGGAAAAAAAAGATCACGACTTAAATTTGTTGTCTAATTGCTCTAATTTGAGGCACCATTATGAGAGGAAAGCAAAGGTAGTAATCAGAATTATTTAAAAAATTTTATCCTTATATTTTTCTTAAAAATTCTGTAAAATAATAAAATTTGTGGTTTTCCTCAAATAAATATATATGGAAAAAAATAACAGCACATAATCACAGATTTCATTTTGTTATATTTTATTAACAAAATTTAAATTATTAAAAATCTCTTTCATGAAGGGAACATAAAACATCATGAAAACAATGAAAAGAAGCAATATTTAAAAAAGATAGTAGGCTTATTGATGAGGCTCCCATCAAAAGAATCAAACCCCAAAATATTTTCATTGTGCTTCAGTGTCCCGACTGAAATTTCACTGATTTCAATGAATATATTTTTAAAAAAATCTTTTATTTTCAAGTTCTTTCATGCAAAACGTCCAAATTTGGTAACAAATCAAATTCATCCCCTCTTTTTGATAGCTACAATATTATATTTAACAGTTTTAATAGCTATCAGTATGTAAACAACATAATGTAACACCATAAAAGAAAAACATAAATGATGACATTTTTAATTTTGGCATAGAGAAATACATATTTACCCCAAAAGAGAGCTTGTATTTCTACCTTCTACGTCAGAGTCAATAACTTGAAATGTCCAGATCAGAACTGAGAAGAAAAGAACCATAATTAGTTTAATTAAGATACAATAACACACCGACCAAGTATTAATTTGAGAGTCAAGCAACAAAAATCAGCATCATATTTTGAAATATTCACTATTTGAAAATATAACGCTGATTTTGGTTGCTTGACTTCTAAATTAATACATAATTAGTTAACCATAATTAAGTAACTGTAAGTTTCAATCATGCACAGCTAATATCTATTTTAAAAATAAACCAACTTACCTCAGGAAAGCCTGGTTTGTCTTAGGAACATTAGCTGTAACTTCTGGCGTAGAAAAGTCAAATTTTTCACTTCCGGACCTAAGAATGAAAGAAATAAACTGCTATAAACATAATTAAAAAAAAAAAAAAAAAAAAAAACATGAATAAATAAATAACACATAACAAATTTAAGCATTAAGCTATGTATGACTACCACCCATCTCAGACAGTGCGACAGATATTGCTGTATACTGTTTCGCCATACCCTGTGTAGCTATTATATCATGCTGTATAACCACAGTTTAGAAAAATTACAAAATGTGTTATTTATATCTATCTAAAAATGGTACATTACTACATGATTTGTAAGAATAAATTAGAGGGCTCTGCGAATGAAATTCCTTCCAATTAAAAAATGTAGGAATAAAGAAAATGCAGGGAATTGCAAATGCAGAAATGAAAAAGGGATTATATTTTTTGCACAGGAATCCAGATGACATATTTTTCAACATTTTAGAAATTTCAATATTAATTTTAGGGGCATAAAATATTAGGCCCCTAAAAGCAGAATATAGTTTTTTCAATGTTCAGTCATATCTTCCTATGAGAAGAATTCCTTTGAGAAGTACACATCTGAACCACAATTAAAAACATGTACAAGAACAGAGCTGAGGACTTCTGTTTGCAGAAAGTCTGTCACATAACATATGAAAAGTTTCTTATTGGTAGATTTTTGATCAGACAGATATTTTAATGTTATACAGAGAAAGCATTCACTTCCCTTTATACTGGAGATAATTCAATTTGGAAACAATGGCAAAAAGGCTAAAAGCAAGCCTGAGCGTATTGGTCCCATTCTTGGCACTAGTTTGGTTTACGCTCAAAATACACAGCAGATATTTTCTGAATTACCTGCATCCCAATATCAATTCAATTCAGCTTTTTGGTGGAATTTACCATTTGTGACATATTTTTCAAAAACTACACTTCACAACATGCATACATGACAAATACACAGAACCATAAGTAAACAAGCAGTAATATATATTTATATATAAATTTTACTAAATGATCATAAAATGTTCCAACGCTAAAAGAAAGTTTTAACATCCAAGTAAATGACATAATAAAAAAAAAAGCAAGTTGAACAGCGAGCACATGAATAAATGTGCATACACCTGTTAAAATATACCATAGGTAACTGACAAAGCATTTCGTAGCAAACATATGACTATAAAATTTCCAATAATACATGTAATGATGGTGAATTCAATTTAGATCGCAAGAACATGCTCATACTTTTGAAAAGATTCAATTATTTCAGCAATTCCTTGTGAATTGGAATTTACCCTTTCAATATTTCCCAACAATTTAGTGTGAATGGAGGAATAAATTCTTATAACAGAATTGAACAATTATTAGCATCCCCTCATACACACACATACAAAAAAAAAAAAAAAAAAAAACTTACTTTGTAAAAAAATCATCCGGGCAATGATTCTCCTTTGACACAGATGCAGTTGTATCAATAATTTCTGACCTTCATAAAAAAAATACGCATATTTTACTTCGGAATTAACTTACTACGAAATCATAAACACGGGGTAGTCGATATAAAGAATAAATTATTTCTCACCTTTCGAAAACATCCGCTTGTTCGGAATCTTCCACATCTCGGGAATTTAATTTCATATTTTTTTCTTGAGCTCGACGTTTACGCTGAATTCTGGATCTTTATTAAAACCAGGATGTTTTTTCGGTCGTCCTTGATATTTTCGCATATTTTTTGCAAACTGACCACAGTACAAATAAATGTAAACAAAACGAGTGCGGAATAGCAATGCAATAGGGTTGCCGTAAACGTCATTCTGCTGACAGCTGACAATGTTTAGTGAAAACTGTGTATAAAGGAATATATGAAACGCTTCTAAATTATTTAGAAAAAAATATGATTTATAACTGATATCAAAATCAATTACTTCGTGAATTTTTGCAGAAATAAGATTACAATGTTTAAATTTTAACTCGTAGCGCCATCTATTGATGGCTTTCCAAACTACACATTAAAATTACGTATTTTCAAACTAATTTTTTTAAATATAATATTTAAGTAAATTTCATTTCAAACCTGATTCTAACATTGTGATTCGAAAACTGACCTATTGCTTTATATTTCTGCCAAATTGCACGCAACATAGTTTCTTAATTAGCGATTCTGCGTGTAAAATAATTTTTTAGTATTGTAATGCTGCTGTAGTAGACTACCTTAATAAAAACATTGTAAAAATAATTCGCAGTTACGTTAGCACACATCACAAGCGCTGGGATGGCTATATAATGAATTAGCTTATGCTTTAAGAACAGCAAATCATGATACTACTGGAAAAACTCCAGAAGAATTATTTTTAGGACGTAAGTTAATTACGCCACTAGTAAATTATTCTTTGTGCAACAAAGGGAATTAGAATTCAAACAAAAAGATATGCAGAAACTTATTGATCAGGCGGTTAGAAGCTCGGATACGGCAAGAAATAGACAGAAACTTTACTATAATCGAAAACGCTGTGAAGCAGATTTAAAGTATGGGATAAAGTCTTAAAGTGGAAATTTTCTTTATCAAGTGCCCCAGACAATTTCGCTATGGCAAAATTGGCTCCGAAATTTGAAGGCCCCTATGTAATTCAGGAAATCAAGGGGTAGTATTATATCTTAAGAAAGACAGAGGGAAATCTGTAAAGCGAGTCCCGACCAGGTGAAAAAATACTATAATCCAAATGATTTTGAAATCCTAAAAGTTTCTTGGAGACTCAAGTCTAACGAAATAGAAGGGCCAGAGACGCAAACTATTCCACCGCCCAAGAAACGGAGAACTGAAGAGAGACTAGCACTTCTACAACCCGGACGTCGGTACCAAAAGAAAAAATGATTTTCAAACTCCGGCGTTTAGAAAAACAAAAATACAGATGAACCGGGTAAAAAACCGTGGTAAAGACGAAAACACCACCTACAAAGGATGGCAGGAGAAATTACACATCAAGGAAACGCGCCACGCCACAGAGTCAGGTGCCAGCAAGGCCGCCGTTCGGAAACTGAAACGACAACAGGAGCACAAAAAATACGACGAACGAAGAAATTCAGAAGGACTCCAGACCGGAGGACGTCAACACCAGCCGTCCCAGGCAGAAACGCAAAGGCCAACACCAGACGATTACTCCGTCAAGAGGCCAGCTGTAGAGGCGCAAAAGAAAAAGCAACGGGACGACACTCGGAGATATAAGGAGAAGATTGACATCCATGAAACCTCTACTTGGGATCAATTTTGCCAAAAACGGATGACGGAATTTCAAGCATCGAAAAACTCAAAGATAGTTAAAACCTTGTATAAATTTTTCTTTCTGTTTTGTTCCGAAATTTATGCATAAGTACGAAGTTCTATGTTTGACGAAAGTCAATATGTCTCGGTTGAGACTTAGTTTTGTTTTACTTTTTAGCTAAGGCAAAAGTATTATTTTTCTTTAAGTGTAAAGCTAAAAACAAGATTTTCTGTTGGTCGAATGACTATTCTGTTATGTTAAAGCCAAAATTGGCCGAAATAAATAACTTTATTCTTGTATAATAAGAATTTAGTTTCAGTGCCGCCGCTTGGCGAAAAGAGTAAAGTAAAAAATTTATTTTCTCTTATTCATTTTATGGTAATTGTAAAAAGCATATGTATTAAAATTTTGTAAATGTATTAAACTGAGGTTATGTAAAAGTAGAATTTAGTCTAGAAGCTAAAATGTAGATGCTAAAGTGAAGCTTAAAAGCAATGAAGTCAAATTCAATATTAAACTGTAAGTCTGCTTTAGGCAAAAGCCTGCATGTTTAAAGATGAATGAGGGGAAGTTAGAATGAATGGTTTTGTAGGGTTCTCCACCTACATTTGATGTTTAAACTATTAAGTAGCTCATGAGTTGTAGAATGTCGAGTAAGGTGTGTCTATTGGTTGTTGAATTCTAACAATCATGGTGGTTAGGGGAATGTGGTAAGACTAAAACATGAATATTCCCGTTTGACACCACACACGGTGGAGAGCCAGGGTAAAGTTAAATTAATGCTTGAAAATTGAATGATGTGAAGTGAGCAATAACTAAGAAAACGATCGTTTAAAAAAAAATTTATTGTCTCAAGAAAGTGTAATTATAATGTATGTAAAGATACTGATACTTATTCCTTCCAGATCTGGAAGGAAAGACCAAGATTGATTGATGAGTCCAGGAAAAGTTGCTGTAAAGAAAGCTTTGTAACGAGCAAAAGAATTTTAGTATATAATTGTTACATAAGATTTTTTTTGTAAACGAGGCTTTCGCCAGTTAGTTCAGAATTAGATAACTTACAACATGTCGTTTCTAGGACCTGCTTCCAAGTTTTCCAAATTCTGGCAGCGGCAAATGTAGGGTTTATATTTATTTTACTAACATTTATTTTAAGTTAAACTATCTTTCCTGTCAAGCCTTACTTTCCACTGGAACTGCCAATCCAGAATATGTAAATTTTAGTAGAACGCGCAGGATTCAAATTATCAGCGGAAGGATTCTGATTTAAATAGAAGGAAACAAGTTCGGTGAGAGGAGATTCTTACTTAGCGAGCGCGGAGGTAGTTAGCGAGAATGAAAACCCCGCGTTGCGGCTATGTGCTTGGCGGGAAGTAGTGGCAATTGTTCCAGTGAGCTTCAAGTCTGCTGAATTAGCAGCGGTATTGTAAAACGCGGTGAGTAGTTATTTTAGAGAGCCTCGTAGTTAGAATCTTGTCTTTATTTTCTTTTCAGGTTATTATTTTTATTTTGACTGCCAAGTGGACACAGTTTGTAAGCGTCAAGAGGACGCAATTGTAATTTATTACGTTGAATAAAAAGGGACTTAAACCCTTTACAAGACTCTGTGGTTCATACAAGCTTTCACAGTCACCCTTGGTTGCGTGCAAGTTGGAGGCGCGCAACGTTATATTTTAATCATGGTTGAATACAATAATTCCATTTTAAAATACGACGTTATCTTAGGCAAATAAGCAGCAGCAATATGGATGAGAAGTGTCTTACCAATAGGATAGCTTATGCGAAAAAGGGAAGAGAGTCGCAGTACTTCATAGGAAGAAGGTGGGAGGGACTCGGAAAAATTTAAGCTCCGAGTTTTGGTTTACAATTAATTTGATTGGACAAGAGATATCTGCATTGAAATATTATGTAACATAGAAAAATCTGGAATCTGGGAGAAGAGATGAATTTAGGGGCAGATCACCAAATTTTGAATGTTAATTCGAAGGTTGCCAATTATTTTTCATAGCAGCCATCGTATTTTGTTATATCTTACGCACACATATATATATTTAAATGGTTTTGTGAATCTTATGCATCAAAGATCCTTTTAAAAAAGAAAATCAACTTTGGCTTTCACAGTGGCAGGGAAACAATTTCTTTTTTAAAGCTATACAGAGGCTGTTTGTACTTGTTTTAAATGATTTTCATTGCATTTACAGAAATATTTTAGCTAAATTTTTTTGTGTTGTAAATGTTCTATTTGATAAACCTTATTTTACACTGTAATTTTCAAGACAAATAGAGCCTTTCATAGAATCGGAAGAGGTATTTTATTCCATTTCACTTGAACAGCTTTCCAAAGTCCAAGGAGGGTTCTAGGTCAACATTTGGACAATTTGCTTACAGGGTTCGTACACATTTCTGCACATGGAAATGAAGTACTTTTAAGGACCTTTAATGAAAAAATTAAGGACCTATGAGCAAATGGGAACTGAATAAATTCAATTAAAAATATTATTCTATGCCTGAATTTCACTTTTGTAATACCATCCTAAAAATAAAATAGATCCCTAAGTAGTATGCATTATTACTAAACATGAATTAACATAATTATTAATAAGTTTGAAAATAAAATAAACTATGCAATTTATCAAGTAGCATTAAATATTTTACACTTATAATAGTTGCACATATTTGAAAGAAGATAAGTGACATTTACGTTTTACTAATAGTTAGCTTTATGTTGATTTTTTTTATGTCTCATTTTGTCACATACTTTGTCAGTCTAGAGGTTTAGCAAATAGCAGGTAGATTTTATGTCAAATGGCATAGGTTAAAATGAGAATTAAAATCATAATCAGCATGATTCATAACAAAAGACTGAATGTTGTCACCTCTGTTGCTTGTCTAGAGAGAGACCTGCTCATTAGAACAAACCTGAAAGGCCTGATGTAGACACAGTTGGCCAAGTGTTGAAAGTTAGTCAGGCTCTGTTTGATGCAGTTAGTGTCATAGCTTTGTGTAGAGTTCCAAGGAGTTGCAGCCCAGTTAATATACTTTAATGCTCCAATAAGCGATTAAAGTACCAGAGATGATAAGTTGTTTTGTATTATTTTTAGATTTCACTAGATGCAAAGAATAAGTTTTACTTAAATTTTTACATTTTTGTGTTTTATCTTGTGACCACAGTGAGTGTTAATGAAAAGCAATAACTCGCTTTAATATGCAGAAATAATTTTTAAGGATAAGCAGTTAGTTAAAAATAATTAAATTAGGTAATTAGATAACCTTGGTCATTATGGATTTACATGGCCACTATTAAATTTTATTTTTTAACAATATTTGTTAAAAAAGCCCTATTAAAATCAAAATCTAATAAAATTTCACAGTTTAAAATACATATAATTTATGACAGTGATTCTTATGTTTTGTAACAACAACACTCAACAAAATATTTATCCTTCATTTTAATTTGAAGCCTTCCCAAACATTTTGGCTAGTTTATATCAATTTCCTTCTCTTTAAGCATCTTTTCTAACAATTAGAGATTTGTCGCAATATGCAAACCAATGCTCTCACTAGTTTCTGCGTGCTTATCTCCTAACTTGTAAACCTCTCTACAAGGTATGAAAGTTTACTTGATCTGGTAAAAGTTAAATTAGTCCCAAACCCCGACAGAATCATAAACAATTGGGTAAGTTACAGAATAATAACTGCACATATCTTTGACGAGTAATTTTCTTTATGTATTCAGTTTCTTTCTTCAACACGTTTCTTTTCATTTCAGAATTTTTGGACCTAATTAAGGATTTCTGTTATTCTAAAAAACACCAAATGCATTTAGAATGTATAAAAAAAGTGGCTAATTTTATTTCTTTAGTAATATAAACATTCAATAGAAATATGAAATTGTAGAGACATTAGGTTAATTGGAAAAGCCGGAGAGATGTAAAATTAGCAACCACCTTTGCCGAGAGTCCACCCACGGATCCCTGGAATACTGGCCCAGCGTGCAGAACCACTACACCACAAAGGCACGCTAGGAAAGTGGGAGAAATACCTTATATACTCCCCTTTTTAAAGGGTGACTGGGGTTTTTAGGAGAACAATTGCCAAATCCTGGGTGTGGAGAATCCTCATCCAGGATTCGGGTGCCACTGTAGAGACATTAGGTTGATTGGAAAAGGCAGAGAGATGAAAAATTAGCAACCCCCTTCGCCGGGAATCGAACCACGGACCTCTGGAATACCAGACCAGCGTGCAGAACCATTACACCACGAAGGCACACTAGGAAAGTGGGAGAAATACCTTATAAAATATATATGGTAAAGTCCGGTTACAAAGCTGGTGTGGCAAAATTTTTAGAATTTAGTGACACACTAACTTTTAGAATTTAGAGCAGGAATTGGAAGTAGCATTTAGAAAGGCACTAGGCAGCAGAATTTAGGATCCACAGAGATTGCATCAGGTGGGAAAATGCCTAGTGCCAGCTCTGTGTATGATGCATTAAGATATATTAGATGAATCTTTTAAATTGTAAGTTTTCAATTTCTTTATTAATAAAAAAATTCCTTTTCTATAATGCCTACCCAGTGATAAGATTCGAAGCATTTTTGATATTTTCCATGCTTGTGTCTAGTGAAAGGTAGAGAAAGTAAAGGGAAGATAAACGTGTTAAGAAAAAGATTCTAGTATCAGGAGTAAAACATTCAAATATTATGTTTTCATTGTTCTACCAGACGTTCTCCAAAAGATAAGAAATTTATTGCAAACTTTCTGTAAAATAAAATACATCCATTATGTGTTGATACCATGGAGACATTTTTCATTTTGTCTCATATTTCTCGAATCTTCTAGAATTGTGGGTCTATAAATCTTGCCTTCAAATCCTTCTAAACTTTCCAAGCTGCAGTGTCTAAAATGTTAAAGAAAAATTATCCCTACCAATTCTGTAACAGCAAAAAGCCAGAAATATTTTGAAAAAAAAAGGGGGCAGGGGGAAAAAGTGTAAAATTAATTTTATAGAGAAAACTGATGCATATTCTGATAATTTTGAATATTCTGAGACAATTACATGGGAAAAACGCTTACTATGAAAAAATTAAAAACAAGACAATTTTATTAATTACATAGCTAATTTTGCTCTTGCTAAGAGCTGTTTTGTAAATTAAGCTTTATACCATTATGCCTTATTTTTCAGATTCATAATATTGTATAATAAGTTGCCAAAATGAAACTTTATAACATGACAGCGAAAAATAGAAATGTTTTATTTTAATGTTATTTTTTAAATATAATTTCAATATAAATTTATTATTTTAATGAAATTTATCAATGTTATGATGATTTTAAAAATATCGTCAAAAAATTCAGATCTCGGAATTATAATTTTTCTATAAAAACTTATCTTAAAATCATAAAAACTTATCTTAAAATCATCAAAATGTTGACAAGTCACCAAATTTAGAACCGTTTAATAAAAGAATTCACATCCCCTAAAGCGAAAAGTTGTTTAAGAGTTCTTTATTAGAAAAAATGAATTTCGAAATACTTATGTTTCACTTCTTGCTTAGAAACTTGAGTATCCCATCATTTATATTAGAAATAGAAACAAATTATAATCCATGAACACATTCAAAAGATAACCATATATGTCAGTGAATCGCCAAAAATACCTCCAAAATGCTAATTCACATTCAAAAATGGCAGTCATAACAGACAGAAATTTCAGATGATTAAATTAAGGCCTTCTGCTGATTTTGGCCAAAATTAAGGACTTTTAAGGGCCAAAAATCGATTCCAAAAAATTTAAGGACTCTTAAGGACCGTACGAACCCTGTTTTTAAAAGTCCAGAAGTGCAAACATCATGGATGTTACATCTAAAGTAGGGATATAAGGAAAATATATGACCTGGTTACTCGTTTCTTGTTTTATTTTTTTCCAGGAAATTAACAGTGGATTTTGACATGTGGTTGCTTGCTTGGTCTTACTGCAATTTTCCTGATTGATAGCACTATAGATAAAGAGATGGTATTTCATCTTTGCAAAATATGTATAAAATATGTTGTTGATAATACAAGGATTTGATCTTAAGATTTTCCTCCACTCTCTTTATTTTTAATTTTACCTTATATGAAAAACCAACAACAATCATAAATCCCTTTGAAAAACTTTCATAAATTTCTTTGAACCATGCTTTCCTCTTTGATGATAACAAATGGATATTTTATTGCAGTCATTTAAATACACCCAAGATTCATCTATTGTGACAACATTTTTCCATTTTTAAGTGGATAAATCTTTCTCATAAAGAATTCTGCAGCACTTTCTGCATTCAGCAATATGCTGCAAAGAAAGACAATGCACAGTATGTTTTTTCACCTTGTTAAGATTCAAATCAGCATTAATAATTTTTTCTATAGTTAACACTGAGCATTTAAATAACTTTGCAACTGTCCTTTGACTTGGAGGATTTTCTTTTAACATTAAATATCTAACGTTTGTAACATTCAAAACATTCCATTTAATTTGTGCTCTTGAGGACAAACATTTAATGTTTTTTGCCTTTGTTGTTGGCAACATTACTTATCGTAGCTTTAAATATAGAAAAACCATGGCTTTCAGAGCGCTTTTTAATAATTCAATACGAATAAGTTTCTTCGGAAAGAGCATAAACATAGCCTTCCATTCACTACATCTTTCAAAGCACCATTTTGAACGAAAACAAAACTGTCAAGTAGCAGACGATAATTTATATTTTAAAAAATATAGCAGCAGTTTAAAAAAATTAAATGATATACGAACAACAGTATTATGCTAACAATGAATGATTTGAGATAACAGCTTAAATTTCAATGTACTTTCATAAGCAACATTTTTAAGAACTCAATTAAACAGTATCCTTTAATATATATAAAAAAAATTAAATGTATTCCTTAAATATAGTAAACTGAGCAATGCTTTCATTGGCTATGGCATTTATATGCCATTGGTCATAATAATCGTAGATTAGATTATAGGAATTTAATAAAAATATTTTAATCATATGAAGTGGTATTTTAGTGAAATAGAGAAAAATGGCAATCATATATTACAATTTTAATTTTTAAAAAAATTTGCAAAATTTTAAATATTATGTCTATTTTTAGAAAACAGGATTATTATTCAATGAATCATTGTGCCAGGGAACTTTTTTTTTTTAATTTTTTGCTCTATGGATTTTAAATCTGCTATAACAATTTGAATTGTAAATATTTTAAAATTTTATCTTTAGCAATAAATACCGAGAGTATTAACTAGTTAAAATTTTTTACAGTATATTTAAAATGAAATACTGAAAAATAATTATTCAAATGAGTAATGAGTATTTCAAATACTTGAAGAAATCTATGTAGTACTTCTTTTAGAAAGCATACAGTTTCTCTTAGTATGCAATTGATAGCTGATTATGTTTTTTTCCCCCCTTCTTAGGCAAATTTCTTATTTATGGATCAGTATCATTCCATTATTCTTCAGAACGGAATAAATGTAGATTTTATTTTGAAAGGAGCCTTGTCTGCAGATATATCTGGTGCAGCTGAAGTATCTATGTGGAATAAAAATTCACATGCAATTGTAAAAAATACGTAAGTATTTGAATGAGATGTATTTGATACGATTTATAATTAAAGTTTTATATCATTTATATTGTAATGAATTATCTGTGTTTAAAAAAGAAGTTATTACAGAATAATGTTAATTATATTATGTATTTATCTTCATCATGATGTAATAGTGCTAATTGTGTTGCAAAGTAATTTATAGGCATGAACTCCTAGACACATGAGTAATTTTTTATGAACTAAGCAACCTATAAATATGTTTCAAACATTTATGTGCAATAAATTTTGCTGAACTAATTTGTTTATAATAAATTAGTTTCTTTATCCACAGCTGATTATTTGTCATTTTTGTTGAAAGGTTATTTTTTATTGAGGAAATTTGTTATTATTTTATATCATGGTTATTTTTTTATTGAGGAAAAGATTCCTGATTTTGAACTCATTAATTTTTACACATTTTATGACCACCATTGCAAACTGATAATTCTCATACTTGGGGTCAGATATTAAATCCTGGGTAAGGCATGACATTTGAAACTGTAGTTTGTGATTTGTGGCACAGACACACAATCTGTCTTGTGAAAAGCCGTCTTGAGAGGCAAATGATAAGAGAAGATAGGTATGAGATAATTAGATTTCATTACCTTAGAGTTTCTTGTAAAAAACTGATATAAAACTTAGGTGGACAGGCCCTATTTGTTTACCTGAATTAATTAATCCAATCCTTTACTATTTTATAGGAATTTGTTTTGTTTAATATGTTTAGAGTTATATAAAGGTACTGAAATTTACTGCACTTTTAATTAAGATAGTAAATTTTAAGTAAATGATCAGCTGCATAACATCTTATTAACTATTGTGATATGCTTTTATATAGTACTTAGTATAAGATATTCGTTTATTTTGATACCACTCATTTTCTTTCTAATTTCAACACTTTAATATCACAATATTTATTTTAACTGTATTTTTTCAGTTTAGTATAGTTTATTATTACATACATAAAAAATAGTCTAATATAGTAACTTGTTGCTGCATTAATAGAATATTGGTTATTGGAGGCAAACTGCTAATCTGAAACCAAGGATATGGGTTCGACTTGGATATAAAGCATAGCTGAATATATGTCCTTTCCCTCTTCTTGTGAGTGCAATATTGGTCGAACTCTTGTGGTCCACTTTGGATAGCATTCCGAGTGATGAGATGACTAAAAAGACAGATGAGTTTGGCCATTCCAAATGAATTGCCTTTGAACAATTATCTAGCCACTGGAGAAGGAAGGACATTAATATTGTTGTTGTTTTCAGCATGAGACAAGACATTAAGTTTATTAGACTTCCTTACATAATTAACTTTAAAAGCATAACTATTTACAAATCAGTTTTATAGCTCTTTGGCTAATTAAAGAGATTCATGATAAGTTAAAGTGATTAATCAAAGTTAAACTATCATCACCTTGATCAAAGTTAAAAAACAACCTTAGCAAAGTATTGGTGCATTTAAGGTTTTCTTTATAGTCAGTATGTATTTCAAACTGTGTGCAAATCATTACCAGTTATCTTACAACATAGAACTCATTGAATTATTACATATATAAATAATAATCCATGTTTTCTGAATGGTGACAGACTTGAATGAAAAGTGAAACAATGCATTAAAGTGAAATAACAGAAAATCATGTTTCGAGACCAGTAGCCCTTTTAGGTTAAAACAAATTACAGTATCAACTGTGTATTTTGTCAGTATTATGTAAGAAAATTTATTTATGTTATTAAGAAAATAAGTTATATTTGATGTCTTTCTTAGAGGTGCTCTCTTAGTTAATGGATTTTGCCGTGTTGATACATCATTTGTTGAAAGTCGTGTGGATTTTGCTTTGGGTGGAAGCTCTTCTCTAAATATCGCTGTAGATCTTGATTTTTCCAAGAAACCAATGAGGATTTGCTTACAAGCTGAACAACCTAATTTCATATTCAGGTAACCAAACTCTATATGCTTAAAATACCATGCTGCTCTGCGATATTTGACTACTTAAAATGCATATTCATAACCGCCTTATTATTTCATTTCATACATAGTTGATATTCTGTAAAAATCAGGGCATAATTATGATTGTTTTGTTCACATTTTTCACAAATCAGGATTATAAAACTCAACAGCATATTTTACAGAGAATAAGTAAGGTTTGTTTCCTTTGTATTTATGAATGCTTTTTGTAATAATATTCACTCCATTACCCACAATTTTTGCATGGCATCAGTTCATATATGTTAAATTACACTGATTAAGAAAGTTATTAATTACACAAAAGATGTTTGAATTGATCCACGACTTTTATAAATAGAAGGAAAAATAACTGAAAAATTGCACTTGAGAAAGAAAATCAAGCAATTAATTAAGCTCAAAGAAGGGAAAATATTATTACAAAATTATTGTACTTGTTTTTCATGGAAGAATGTTATCCATAATAAAAGAGCTTTATCAGTAGTAAAATTACTATTTACAGCAAAAGTTTCAAACACCTGAGTTGGTGACTAAGAGCATCTTGAAGAACAAGCATTAAGACACAAAAATATAAAGGCAAAAAGAAGCTTTTATTTATTTATTTATTTAGACAGTTGTTAGATTTAGCACAAGAGGAAAGCGATCTTCCGATAAACTGTAATGTATTTACTAAATGTCGTAAAAGAGACTTGCTTTCCAGACTGAAATGGTCATTGACTCAAGTTTATTTTATATATATATTATATTTGTTAAATTATCTGTCTTTAGAAAGTGCAAAAATATTAATTCTGCATTTTGGGAGAACTAATTTCAAATGCTTCCTCTCATAATACAAAAAAGCATTTTATTAAACATCTGTCTAAAGATGAATTTTTTTCCTAGTTTAAAGTTAATATGACATGCTTTCTTTATATCTCTTATGATGAAAAGCATCCTTATACTTATTCTTTTTGTCACATTATAAGGTATTTCTCCCGCCTTCTTAACGAGCCTTCGTGGTGTAGTGGTCTGCACGCTCAGCACGTAATTGAGAGGTCCGCGGTTTGATTCCTGGCAAAGGCATTGTTAATTTTTCATCCCTCTTGCTTCCAAATAACCTAATGTCTCTACAGTGGCATCCAAACTAAAAGGGTGTTGGATGATGATTCGCCTCACCTAGGATTTGGCTATTGAGTCCACTAAAAACCCCAGTCGCCCTTTAATAGGGGGAGTATATAAGGTATTTCTCCTGCCTTCCTAATGAGCCTTCGTGGTGTAGTAATCTGCATGCTCAGCATGTAATTGAGATATAATCTAAAATAATCAAAATATTATCAAATAATAATAACATAATCTAAAATATGTGAAGCCAACAAGATTTCTCTTGCAGTTCTCTATTTAAATACAAAAGAATTTTTCACTCATGTAAGGACATTTTGAGACAGATATTAAATTTATATGTGCATTAAGAAGGGAAATCATCTAAAAAGGAAGATGCATAAGATTTTCTGCTGTGTATGTTCTCGGGAATGTTTTTTTAAAGCAGTTAGTAAAAGACAGCACCTTGTTGCACTACACTGGTCTTACATAATTTTTATATGTAAAACTTTAGGGGGGGATGTAGTAATATTTTCATTAGAAAGGTAATATCAAATTCTTTGCTCCAAAGTTTGCAGCAAAGAAATTTATATGAGAGTGCAAAAAATAAAGTTTTGAAGAAATTCTGTAGCTTCACATGATTTCAAAAGTTTATCTACAATATTTTAGCAGTTCTTTGCCATACTCTTGTCCACGAAGCTTTTATAAACACCCTGACTATCAACAAGTCAGTCTATTTAATTTCTGATCCATGAGTAAGTGAATATGAGCTCTCATGAAATAATCGCAGATTTCTCCATTTATAGTTATGATAGAGAGCTTGTTCTGCCTTAACAAAGTTTAAGTAGATGGGGATAACACAGAAATGCAGAGTGGAAAAGACAGCTTTCTCGCCATACCAAAAAAAAAAGCAGCATGAATGTCGAAATCATAGACTACGGTGATGCTGACTGCATTTTTTTATTAAAAGGATTTACTCACTATTGAATTTATTTCTGAAAATTAATCAGTATTTATACAAGCAGGTACATTTTTGATTAAGAAACAGGATATTGCAAGTTGGGAAAGAACTTTTTCATTCTAGGCAATGGTTTCTTTTACATAATAATGCTAGGACTCATAAAACATTAAAGTATTGCATTAGTCTGTACAACAGTACCTTTCAGTTGCAGTGATAAATCACCCACCATATTCTCACAACTTATTATAAGCTAATTTTTGACTTTTTCCAAAGCTTACAATGGCCATGAAAGGGCAGAGCTCTCACAACGTTTTGTTTGGATATTAAATCAAATGTTGCATAGATTTTGTGAACAGTTAGTTCCGATCCCTACACGATAATATACACAGTACAGTACAAAGTCTTTAATCCGGACTCGTCAGGACTTCAGCGATTCCGGATTAGTGGTTTTTCCGGATTATAGATCATCAATTTAAATCTGGTAAGATGGCATGCAGAAATTATAAAATTAAAAATATGAAACTGCAATTTATGAAATAAAGAGCAATTATGATCTAATCTAAAGGGCATCAAAATTTACAAAAAAAAAAAGCTTAATATTTATTTGTTTACTTTATTAAACATTTCTTTCAATGTAAGTTGTTTAAGTTGCTTCGTTTTTTGTGCTAATACTTTGTCTTTAATTTTATAAACAGACATAATTTCTTGTTCAGTTCCACTGTTTAAGTCCTGTAATTGCTGTGACGAGAATACCAACTAACTTGTCAATCGAAATTTTTTCATTTTCAATAACCTCTCTGTCACTTTCTTCACTATCGGAAGTGGTACATCGAAACATGCTTTCGCTTTGTAGATCCTTTGGCAGCTCTAGAATCGGAAACTCTTTTTTGACATAATCAAAAGTTCAAGCTTATTTTTTATAAAATTGCTCTAACAGTATGCAAAAAATAATAAGCCAGATCCAATTAGAAGATTAAGGAACAACACAATCTGCAACATTAACTGAAATAGATAATTAGATAATTTTAGCCTAGCTTATACCGTCCATTATACATAAAAAGCGCATGTGTAAAGGTATTATGCGCATGCATAAAGGTATTATGCGCATGCATAAACGCATTATGTGTTTACGCATGCACAGAAAGTTTGTAGCTTTAAGATCTGGATTATAGATCATTCTGGATTATGGACGTCCGGATTAAAGACTTTGTACTGTATTATGTTATCAAATATCCCTCCTAACATATATAATAGTGTCTTGATGACCTAATAAAACATTGGGAAAAAAATAAAAACCTGAAGTTTTGAAGAAATTTCAGATTCAGATTTTACATTATGCCAAAGGGGCATTTTTTAAACATTTTGCGTGTTATCTTTATTTATTAAATATAATGTTCTTCGCACTTAAACCATAAAATTCAATTCAACAGCAATATCGCAAAATAATTTTAAAATGAGCATATTTTTAGAGTTTCTGATACACAGTCTTGCACACTGGAGATATTTTTTTTTTTTCACCCTCCAGTACAGTGTTGTCATTGCTCGCTTTGAAATCGTTGAGCTTGTTAATCAAAAATTCTTTAATGTTTGATAAAATATGAAATAGATAATAAAAACAAATTCCAAATTTGGGCTTCCAGATGTCCATATTCGAGTGGAGACGTACGTTGTTCAAAATTTGATGGCTCTATGCAGATTCTTCATTATTTAATTTCCTTAATTATAATACAGAGCTCCGATATTTAGTGGCAACAATTTAAAAAAGTGATTCGCTGTTTATAGTGAATTGACACAAAATGCCAAAACAAAATTAATAGCCCTTCTGGGCAAATTGCCTCTTTGGTCTAAAAATTGTATCTGGTGATTATTTTGAAAGAGATAAATTTATTTGAAGGTAGGTAACCATTTTCTTATTTATAAGAAACTGTCTGATTTCTTTATGGGTGCAACTTGTAATTTGCTTTCAAATTATATTACTGTGAGACTTTGTCTACAATTAAAGCTAGTAATTATTTTACTGTGAAATACTTTTTTATTCAATGCTATAAAATCAGGTAAGCTAAAATTAGTTTATATAAATGAATATGCTGAACTTTGGAAGAATTGGTGGAAGGTCCTGACTCTTAATTTCACTTTGCATTATATAAAACATTGTTATGATAAAGAAACTCGCTGCTTTATTTTTAAATCTTCATGATTAATATTAAATTAATATAAATCTTCATAATTAATAGTATTATTCATAACAATTCATGCTTGAGAATGACACATGTCACAATGCCTAGAAAATTTTTTAACATTTCAGAGTTAAATCTTTGTATAAATTAAAGTATACTTTAATTCTAGCAAATAATGCATGAATAAAGTAACTGAAAATACTATCCTGATATTATGAAAAGGCAACAACAACAATTCTTCCCTGCCACCTATAGATTTAAAATTTAGTTAAATGCATGCTTTTAAAATTTTTTACAGCTCTGATTAACAATTAATAAAGATATAATTGGAAAACTGTCTTATATACTTAATGTAATATTTAAAAGTCGTCCATTTAAGAATATTTTTTCTTTTTTCAGGCATAATGTAAGAAAAACTGAAACTATTCCAGGGAGTAAACATCTAATCAAAACTCTTAAACGAAGAAGTATCCATTTCCCTGGCAGATCATTCAATCTGCACAAAAAGAATTCAGATTCCTGTAAAGAATTGCTGTTTCCTAAGAAAGAAGCATCCTTTTGGTAACGAAATGTGTAAATATTGGTTATTAATATTGTTAAAAAAATAAGTCAGACATCATATCTGTAATTTTTATTATTTTAACAAAATCTTATTTCCTCTGGTCAGAGATATATTCAACCATTTCTTCACTCTCTACAATATAAAAACTAAGTATTTTGTAAGGAAAATTATATTTTCAGTCACTTTTTTCTGGACATTATATGATCTCAATTTTTAAATCATTAACTCATTTAAGATACTTATTTTAATTCTACACATTGCTGTTAATGTATGGTTTTAAAATTATCTATTTTTACTTATTTCAAAGGGTGACCAGAAAAATTCCCACAGGAAAAATACTCAATAATGCTCACACAAAAAAAGCCATAGGGAAATATGGCCACACAGGAAAAAAAAAAAAAAAAAAAAAACTCATTTGCTTAATCTTCTAAATGTTTATACTATAAAATATATAACTTAGACTTACTATTATTTTATTTTTTAACAGTTAAAATTATAATAATTTTTTATTGTATATTCTATTTCATCTTTACTTCTTACTCCTCCCCTTTTTACTGCACATTTGTTAGTCTTATATAGCTATAGAATCACACAAAGGTATACAGTTTGTGAAATATATACCATAGAGTTTTTGAAAATTTAAATTATTTTTATTTAAAAAATGCAAGTAGGTGCACAATGTTCAAATCAATTAACTATTGATTGACTAACGTAAGGAAATTTCTACGTGATTTTTTTTACTAGTGGGATTATTTCCATGTGAGCTTTTTCTGTCAGCATTATTCTGTGAGGGTTTTTTTTTTTTTTTTTTTTTTTTGCTTTGTTCCTAGAACATTTTAAAGTATCATTCATTATTTATTAATACCAATGTATATTAAATACAGGAAGGCCCAAACAGCATGCTAAAAATATCTGCTTAGAAGATACTGCACATCATGTATAAATTTTCATGAGTGCAAGGGAACTTCTATTTGTTGACATAGTTACTTAATCATCAGAAAACAGGATCTCGTATTTTGTTACTAAATCAGATACTGTTCTTATCCTTGAATAGTAGACAAAAGTTGCAATTTACACAGAAAGAGTTCCACAGAGTTCATTGATCTTTGTATTATATTTTTGGGATCCCTAACTGTGATAAAGCTTTTTTGTGCTAATGTGTATGCTTTTGCTTCTAAATAATTTGACTAGAAAAACCTGGCAAATTTCATGAAATGAAATATACTTTCAAAATTGAGCAGCTATTCCTTAAGTGTAAAGGTTTTCTTCATTCTGCATTTTTTACCAAATTTGCATGAAACTATGACATTGGTTGTTTTTGTAAAATTCTCATGCTTTATGTATGTTTTAATTTGTCATATTGGTAGGTTTGTTGCCAGATTTATTAACTTCTTGCATCAAGATTTTTTATTGCTCCACAAACTGCTATTTAATTAGACAAATTGCAAAAATAGCAAAAATTAGAATGTCTTGAAAATGAATAAATCCTTAATACTCAAGCAATTATACTCAGACTCAAACAATCACTACTTAGTATGAGCTTTATTTCCTCCTAATTCTTTAAAAAATTTGCTTAAAATAATATTAATTATTTTTGTAAAATTTTCTTATGATAAACATAAGTTCCTTAAAAGTTAAACAGTCAGATTAATAAAGAAGGTTATGACAAAACTCTCTCCCTTCTCTATATACACATAAACTTATATACTCGTAATATAGTAATTGTATAAATAAATTTATAGAAATATAATACAACAGTAGAACACTTTTTGTCATGTTTTTTGAACCATCCTATATTAGGCAGAAAAGAATTTTTAGAACTAAATTTTAAAAATCCCAAACCAAAGATGTATCTAATTTTAAACTAAAGAATGATTAATAACAAATTAAATGCTTACTTTCTCTTTCAATAGAGGAGTAAATATACATATAGCTGATGCACATTTGCATTGCGTAAAACAAAACATTTTACTCGGATTACTAGAGAAATATTAACAAATTCATTAAGTTATTTTAATATACTGTTAAATATTTATATTGCAACTGTACAGAACATGTTGCTGAATGAAGCATATTTCTTATATCTGTTGCAACTGTAAACTTATCATATTTTAACCAATTATTTATTTATTTAATATTATTATTGATGTTGTGTACAATGTGTTATAACTTTATTTAAATTGTTATCCAAATTATCTGATGCGGTTCTATAAAGCATATTTTGTTAACTTGAAATACCTGTGTTCCGAGCAAAAAATACGCTTGTATATATTTTTGATACAGAAATAGGAAGTGATGAAAGAATAGAAGTTTTATGTATAATTCTGTACATGAAACCTTCCATTCATCAATCAGTGCCAAATACTTTCGTTTCTTTATTATAACTAATCATTGTAAATTCTGTTTAAAAATTTTTATCACTATTTTTATTAATTTTTAGCAGTAAAAGAGTTTTTATTTACAGAAATTAAATTTCCGAAATATCTAAATATTCTATGTTATATAAAGCAGTTTTAATAGTACTCGGTCATGTTACTTTTTTCTCTTTATTCTATGACTATAACCTTTGTAGCAGATTTCTAAATGTGCATGTTTTTGTGCTTTTTATTACATGTAAAGGCCAAAGATTACATGTTCATTTGTTTTTGATATGCACAATAAAGTTCAGACTTTTGAAATATTGTTTCTAAACAATTCTTTCTCAGATGAAATAGCATTCACACTGCATTTATCTTTTGAATAATGAAAATAACTCAATCAATGAAATAGTTTCAAACAATAAAAAATTAACATTTTACAAAAAAATTAATACGCACTATGCATGTGATATAATGAAGTATATTTAAATGCTAATTCACAGATTTAATTGAAAAGTGGTTTTGAAAAGATCAACTCCTACCTAACCCCAGAGAATAGCCAGTGGAAAATTATGAAAATTTTATAGCAAGAGTTAAAACAACCTATTTTCTGTTTCCAATAAAAATCTATCCGTATTCAGAAAACATAATACATGTAAACTGCGGGGGGGGGGGAAGAAAAGAAAAAAAGAAAGGGATAGTTCTATATCTGCCGTTCTACTAGGTCGATTGACAAAATTCAAATTATGCTTTTCATGTTGCGAAAGTGCGATATGTATTAGATTTATATAGCATTGTTTTAACATAGGTATTTTGACATAAATTCGGACTTTTACTAAAATAACATTTGTCAGATTGTTAAGTTTTGTAAAAATCGCGAAACTTGTTTTAAAACAATTAGCTCTCAAAATTTTAGCTCCTCCATGTTAATTGAATTTGGTATACAGTCAAAAGTCATTAATCCGGACTCGTCGGGACTTCGGCGATTCCGGATTATAGATCATCAGTTTAAATCTGGTAAGATTGCATGCAGAAATTATAAAATTTAAAATATGAAATCGTAATTTATGAAATAAAGAACAATTATGATCTAAAGGGTATCAAAATTTACAAAAAAAAAAAAAAAAGCTTAATATTTATTTGTTTACTTTATTAAACATTTCTTTCAATGTAAGTTGTTTAAGTTGCTTTGTTTTATGTGCTAATACTTTCTCTTTAATTCTATATAAACAGACATAAATTCTTATTCAGTTACAAAGTTCCGCTGTTCAAGGTCCTGTAATTGCTGTGCCGAGAATACCGACTACCTTGTCAATCGAAATTTTTTCGTTTTCACTAACCTCTCTGTCACTTTCTTCATGTCTTTATCCATTTTTTGCAGCAATTCCACTTTTCCTTTGATGGACATTGAAACATACTTTCGCTTTGTAGATCCTTTGGGAGCTCCAGCATCGGAAATTCAATATGACATAATCAAAAGTTCAAGCTTACTTAAAAAGGAAGGGAAAATTGGTTGCTATAAATTAAGAAGTTCATGAAGTGAATTATTCATGGTGCAAACTGAAAAAAATTCGATAAATTTTTTCTCACCAAAAATTACAAAATTTAATATCTAGGCATAATTTGAGTCATAGAATCAAAATACAGAAAAACACTGGTATGTTATTTCAGAAAAAGTCCCATTTTGTGTGAAAATACCTATGTTAGAATAAAGCTATCTTAAGTTGCGCTTTCGAGACATGGAAAATGCAATTTGAATTTTGTCAATCAGCCGAGTAGAATAAAAGATACAGTTCCTTTTTTCTTTTCTTTTTTGCGCAGTGTGCATAAAAAATTAAACTGTACAAATAAAATAATTAATTTTTTATACTTTATTTGCAATAATAGACAGCACTGACGACAATATGAACATGCAAGCGGCAAGTGCAAAGTTCTTAAAGGAATAGACTGTCGCTAATCTTAGAAAGAATGAGGGGGGACTGCAAGACAGAGGCAAAAATTAAAGCAACAATAAAAAACTAACATCAGGTGAGAACTGCTGGAATTATGCATTCAACATAATGGGAAGGAGCTAGTAGTATGAAAACTAGTATTACAGGAAATAACAGTCTTCAATTGTGTTTTTTGACTTCATCTCAAGTAAATTGGACGGATACTGAAAATTGCGTTGTTTTTATTGAAAGAAATGTCTAATATTAAAATCAATGATGTATGTTTGAAGAAATTAGAAGACTGTAGATTTAAATTCTGATAAATTAAAATAATGGGAAAATCAACATGTTGAAATTGACAAAAGATAGGTAGAAATATTTAACTATTTCAAAAATGAACGCAGTCCATATGAAAATTTGGTTATTCTTGTTGAATTAACATTGTGCTAATGCAGCAGTTGTGAGAGTTTTTATTTTAGAATTCCGTTAAAGCGGTGTCAATTAAAAATGTGCCAAAAACCATAGCAAATAGCTTGCCTCAAGAATTTAACGTCTAGAATATCGTGGCTTGAGAATTCTAGTTTTTGTTTGAAATATTGTTGCTCGTTATTTTGAATAGTTTTTGTTTACGCTTCATCACTGGTTATTTCTTTTTGCCATTTTTTAGTACGATTGATTACACAATTTGGCAGTTACCTAATGATGAAGAGGCTGCCGTAAGATTCTTTCAGGATAAAGGAATAATTCACAGAGACAAACTTTGTTCTCAGAATCATCTAATGGAGTTAACTTTTGACTCAAGCAAAGCTCCTATATGGCGTTGTTACGTATGTTCTTACTGTGAAAAAAAAGGATTGAGAACAAAAACATGGTTTGAAGTCTCGCGTCTTACTTTCCTGAATGCCAATCATTTCATCTATATATGACGTCAAGAATTGACATTGACCAAATTTTGCGAACTTCAATTAGAAATCGCCCATAATACGACAGTAGATTGAAATAACTACTTGAGAGAGGTATGTGCAAATATGTGTAGATATGTGTAGGTATGTGTTGATGTCTCATAAAAGAATTAAAATCTGTGGAGCCAACAAAATCGTCGAAATAGACAAAAGTCTTTTTACAAAAAAGAACGACATTGGATGTATTCTTCCGGAACAATGGGTATTCAGGAGTTTATGCCATTAAAGCAGAGAATGTTTTCTGGTCGCTGTTCCTGATCATTGTGCTATAGCATTGATAACTGCCATTCAAGAAAACATCGCAGATGGCAGCATTATATTTTAGACTGCTGGAAAAGATATAAGAACTAAGAAATGCTGGGTATGAACATTTCACTGTGAATCACAGATATAATTTTGAAGACCCCAAAACTGGATGCCATACCTAAACTGTGGAGAGATTGTGGGGCAGTGCTAAATGGAGAAATAAATGTCAGCAGGGTACTGCTCACCACCATTTAAAATCATATTTAATAAAATTTATGTGGCGTGGACCATATTTAAAAACTCAAATGTTTCTGCAATACTGAATGATATTCGTAATTTTATGCCACCTGATTGTATTTTGTTTTGTTTTCATATTTTTTAGTTATGTAAAGAATATTCTAGGTTACAAAATTAAAAAGAAAAATTTACTTCCTTTACTAATTAAGAAATTTTTAAAAATTTACTTTTTACAGAATTAATTTTTTTTATTCTTTTGAACTCTATTATAAGTACAAAGTCCGAAATCCGGACTGGTCGGGACTACGACAATTCCGGATTTTTCCAGATATTAGATCATCAGTTTAAATCTAGTAAGATGGCATGTAGAAATTATAAAATTAAAAATATGAAATAGTGGTTTATGAAATAATGAAGTATTTATGATCTAAAAAGTATTAAAATTTACAAAAAAAAAAAAAAAAAAAAAAAAAAAAAACTAATATTTATTTGTTTACCTTATTAAACATTTCTTTCAATGTAAGTTGTTTAAGTTGCTTTTTTTTTTTTTTTTTTTTTTGTGCTAATACTTTCTCTTTAATTCTGTAGACAGACATAATCTCTTCTTTACTTACATTGTTGAAGACCCACAACTGCTGTTTCGAGAATTCCGACTAACTTGGCAGTCTAGATTTTCTTGTTAACAGTAACTTCTCTGTCACTTTCCTCAGTATTGGTAGCGGTATTTTCTGGATCTAGAACCATACTACAGATTTCGCCATTCATTAATGATTGATGATTGAGAAGCATTGTCATCACATTGGAAAGCTTCTTTTATGGAAAATTTCACCTTTGCTTTGCAATATCCAAAAACCTTTAAAATTAGAGGCTATATCATCAAATTTAGCTATTCTTCACTACTCATAATTGGCTATGCATCATGAACATGGCGACTAACGACAAGTTGTTCCATTAAATTTTATCTTGCTTCTATCGTGCACCGAGACTTTTAAGCCTGAATTGTATTAGTTATTTATTATACTTATGTTAATTTTTTGCACATGCTTAAGGCTTATCAGAGTTCTGAATAAATAAATTTCCACATATATTTATTAAGGGCCGGCGCTAGATATCTTACTGCCTAATGCAGTCTCTGTGGGTCCTAAATTCTGCAACTCGGTGCGGCCATACGAGCCCTGGCGCTGGTTCTGGATTTATGTGAATAACAAATCAGTTATTTTTAATTCAAATAGCCCTAAATGTAATTGTTGGGTCTATGAGTAGCATCAACAAAACCTATTTTTAGTATATAGAAAGAAATTTTTCCTCGTCAACACTTTTTAGCGCATTTAACTTAAATCTGCAATCATCGCCAAGCGTAATGTCAACCTAAAAGGTTACCATACTCCTTTATTATTCAATTACTAACATAAAAAAAACTGTTTAGACATCGCTGCATGAGTCATTAATGAAGTTGTCATGTTTTGATAAACAAGGAAAATATAATAAATAATGATTCGCCAGGGTGGAGTGAGATCAAAGATGTATCTATGTGGAAGGTTTCGGTTTGAGATGTGTGCCAAGCAGACACGCAGCAATGGAGCCAAATTACTGATCGTACAAATTTATGCTAAAATGATTGTTTCTTCAATAACAAGGTATAGGTATTTTATTTAGTGTCGAAGTGAAATTAAGAATCGGGCCTCTCCAGATGTTTTATTATATGCGGAACCAGACAAACTTTGTTAGTGGTTTTGTGGTCCAGATTTTAGATCATTCCAGATAATGGATGTCCGGATTTCGGACTTAATACTTGGCAAGAATTGGTGACAAAAAAAAGTGTTGCATTTATAATTGATGCCCCTCTAACAGAACAGTATCAATTTTTCAATTGGTAATCATTTTTAGAAAAGTGAGAAATCAAGATTGAATTTTGAAACTCTAGTTGCAGTTGCAGAATGTTGAT